GCACACTGGGGGGTCACTCCCCAGCAGGGACCTCCCCCAGGCAGGCTCAGTGACCGCAGTGGTTTCCCAGCACTGAGACTGAGCCCCTAAACCAACACGCAGGCCCAGGCCGGCCTTAGCCTTTTGAGGGGATCCTCCTTTGTCTCTGCCCCAAGTGGGTTTTCAGCCTGCAGCGTCCAGCTGTGCCTTCAGTGAGCCACTGTATGACTGGCCGCCAGGTCCAAGCCTTCAGCGGGCCCTGGGAACTTTGGTCGCCTTCACCACACCTACATGAGGTTGCGGGCTTGGCACATCTGGGCCAGAGCCACCGGGGGTTTGTCTGCCTCTTGAGAGGACTGGCTGTTGGAAGTATGTCAGCCGTGTCTATGCGGGGCTCCTTTTCCATCACCAAGACAGGGCTTGTGGTCTGACAGAGATTCCAAGGGAGACTCCCCTGTGGCCTAGTGGTGGCTCTCAGTGATACTAACCAGAAGGCCTGAATCCCAGCGCCGGCCAGGGAGTGACCCACAGGGCACAGCAAACCCCTCCTGCCCTGCCCGCGCCGCTCCCCCCAGCACTGTACTTCATCAGCCTGTTCTGCTCCCCACTGTCTCTTATGGGTCTTCTTACCCACCGCACCTCTGGCCTATACCCCAACTCTTGTATGTAAAAATAAACAGTGAAAAAGAATTTGTATGTCGTAAACGTGAATCATAAATCATAAGCCAAGCATGCCTATTTATTGTGTAACTAGTGCATACAGTTCTGGTTCAGGAGTGAACAATTTTTTTTACTGACACACTCACTTTAACTACTTCTGGGAAAATTTTTTTCTTAAATACTTTTCAAAGATACAATTTAAAAAATCCAAAGAACAGTTAAAGTACCGCCAAGCTTCCATACTGTTGAAAATAAACCCAAAAAAGCCTATTGCAAGATTCTCCCTGGTGGCGCAAATGGTGAGGATGATGCAGAACTGCAAATGGTCACAACCATTTCCGTGTGAGTTTGATCCCTGCCCCACAGGTGACCCCAGGGCGCAGCAGACCTCGCCTGACCCACCTCCACCCAAATTAGAAGTTGGGGGGTTGGCAGAAGCCTGACCTGAGGTGCCCACAGGCTCGGACTCTTAGGTCACCGTCCGCGTACCTGTAACGCTCCAGCCCCCAGATCCTGCCCCTCCCACCCCACCTCACCTCACCTCCCAAGTGCCCATTGTTCCCCCATGTCTCCTCTCACTGTCAACCCCTCTTGCTGATGCAGGGTTCACTGGGTACTAAAGCCCCCAAAGACAGTGTCCAGTGGAGGACACATGAGTCCTTCCCTGTGCACACAATTACAAACCACTCAGGCTCAAGGAGTAATAATGGCGTTGAATGAACAGCAGAGCAAGCAAGAATTGCTAAGGACACAAGTCGCCGCTGGGTCACTGGAGCCACAGCACTCGTAAATTCCAAAGAAATGATGCTCCTCCAAGCCTAACACCCCTGGTCCAAGATCTCTAGGGGGTGGCAGCTGGCACACAGGCTGCATCCAAATCCTGTAGCTGCTAGCCAGAAGGGAGGGCTCACAGAACAGCCGAGAAGACACAGCAGTAGCAGCCTACAGACAAGGTCCATTTGGGGAGCCAGCACCCAGCACTGGGGCAGACAGCAGTGGAGGTGACGGTGGAGCAGCCGACACACAGCTCTTCCTGGGCCCGGGCCCACACCAGCAACACAGTGAGGCACCAGGCCAGTGGCCTTTACTGTCTCCAGACACACTGCAGACGCAGGCATCGATCACCTGCAGAACTTTGCAACCTCTCTAGAATGTCGGCTGCTGGGAGATTCTTTCTTCAGAAGCCGAAAACAGTATCTGCAGTCTGGGCCACTCCACGTTCCTCCAGAGTGGACCCGGGCTTAGGAGTCTGGCACAACGCAAGCCCCAGCTGGCTCCTCCACTCTCTTGCCTTTTCAGTGTCCCGCAGCTTCCCTCACACTTCCTGCCTCTTGGCCTCGGCCCTTTCAACCGCCAGCTTCTCCCGGGGACCCTAGGTGGAAATACCCATCTGCAGCATCCTTTACCATAAGCCAAGGCCACACTTCCCAAATACCCGTAAAATGCCAGTCTGCCGCGTGGTGCAGCCGCCAGGCCCCGATACCTTACCGCCTGCCATTCGCAGGTCCTGTCCAATCTGCCCATATCCTCAGGATGGAGACTGACAGAAAAGTCAGTAAGGAGACAGCACATGACCAGAAAGCGGCTCACACAGGCCACATCAATAAACAGTAAACTAGCGGTAGAGACCCAGAGCACAGACTGGAGAAGGGGTGTGGAAATGAGGACTGTGGTATAAATCCCAGGTCCTTTCCATTCGACCTGGACAAAGAAATGAGCCAACTCCTCAGGGTGACATGGAAGGCCGCTGTCCTTCTGACCACCTCGTCCACTTCCAGTGCAATGACATTGTGGTGCTGAGCAATGCCAGCCTGACCGGTGGCACCGGGCCCTCTCCCTTGGTATCACCGAGGCGCAGAAGCCTGGACACAGCGTGACCAATACTTTAAAGAGCCCTCAGAGATCACGGACCAATGCCATGTGAGTGCCACGTAGACAGCTGTCCACCGGGGACACGGAGAGCATCATCCAGCAACTTAGGAGGACACGAGAAGGGACAGCACCAGGGGCAGCTACATCACTGCTGCACACCTTGACCAGCGACTGAACCAGACGAGTTCATGCCACTATGAATTAAACTGCTGGTGTGTCCACAGTGCTTCACTGAACGCTGTCTTGTTTTGTGTTAGAAGTTGTAACAGCTTTCAACTTTTCTGTTATAGATTTATTTACTGATGTGTACAGAACTCAGGTAGAGGGCAGAGGTGCCGGGGTGGTGAGAGGACTGACCAGAGTCGGGTGCAGAAGACACATTTGATAAAGCACACTGTGGAGGGGAGCACGGGGGCGGGGGGATCTGAAGGTGTGCCATGTGTGTCACCTTCCTGGCGCGAATGAACTTGAATTGAAGTGGCTTCCTTGAGCCTCGTAATGCTGCACTTTCAAAAAGTATTTATTTATTCATACAGAACTGGGGTACAAGTCAGAGGTGCAAGTGCTGACAGGCTTCACCAGAGACAGAGTGGGGAGCAGAACAGGCAGATCAACGAAGTCCACTGCTGAGGGGAGCAGCGGGGGGTCAGGAGGCCTGCTAGCCATGTGGTCACCTCTGGGCCTGGGGACTGAACTCACATGAAGCAGCTGCAGCCAGCTTGCAGTGCTGCGTCCTAACTTGTTACGCCTCCAGGGAGGGCCCAGGCTGCACTTTTTAACCTGCTATGCCACCAGGGAGGGCCAAGTTTTCATTTTATAATAGAAATAATATTCAGAGAGGAAGAATGATCCTTGCCTGTGCTGCAATTCTCCTGTGGAGATGTAGAACAGCAAAGCTTGTCTGCCCGCCAGAATAAAAATGCTGTGTAAATACAGGCAAAGTCTCTACCAGACAGTGCTCCCCTGCTCCGCATAATCTCTAGGATCCCTGCAGGGTGACTTCCGTGTTTCCTACACAGGTTACCCCATAGGGTGTCTCTCTGTGTGACGGCCCATGCAGCAAGAGCTCCTCTGGCAGAAAGTGACCCTGCAGTACTGATAAGCAAAGGGCTTATCTCCTCCGAGTTTTCTGCTATCCAGTCAACCTGATTTTCAGTAGAAACCTTTACTATATTTGGGGTACTCACAGACAGCTCACCAGTGAATTATCTATACAGGCAGACTGATGGCTTCCTCCAGGAAAATGTTTCCCTCCACTCTAGACACTAATAAGAAGTTATCTGTGTGTGAATTCTCTGATCTGCACTCAGAACTATCTTTTGAGATACTAGGTTGATGGAAAAGACATCAACAATTTTGCAACAGAGACGGGGGTAGAAAAAATAGGTCATGAGCTTCCCTAAAAGCTAAGTGTTTGCCTCCACTCTTGACATTCACGGGGTTTCTCTCATGTGACAATTCTCTATTGTCCAATGAGGCCTGATTTGTAGGAGAGCGCTTACCTATAATCTTGACATTCACAGAATTTCTGTGCAGAGTATCACCTAGAATGAACAGCAAGGCCTGATTTTACTAGTCTTTTCTTTCATAGGATTTCCTCCAGGGCACATTATGTGATGGTTACTCAAGGCTCACTTATTGGAGAACGTCTTTCTGCACTACTGACATTCATTGAACTTCTCTCCTGTACAACTCCTCTGATGTCGGGCAAAACACAACTTCCAGCATAAATCCTTCCTACATTGTTCACATTCATGGGGCTTCTCTCCAGTGTGACTTCTCTGATGGCCACTGAGTTCAGACTTCTTTGAAAAAGTTTTTCCACACTCTTTACATTCATGAGGTTTCTTTCTACTGTGACATCTCTGATGTACTGTGAGGTTTGACTTACAGGAAAAATTTTTCCCACATTCCTGACATTCATAGGGTTTCTCTCCTGTGTGACTCCTCTGATGTTGGGTAAGATTTGATTTCCTGGAGAAAGTTTTCCTACACTCTTCACATTCATATGGTTTCTCTCCAGTGTGACATCTCTGATGTCTAGTTAAGTCTGACTTACTGGAAAACATTTTTCCACACTGCTGACATTCATAGGGCTTCACTCCTCTGTGAGTCTTCTTGTGACGATAAAGGCTTGACCTGCTACGGAAAGTCTTCTTACACTCCTGACATTCATAGGGCTTCTCTACAGTGTGAATTCTCTGATGTGCAGTGAGACGTGATTTAGTGGAAAAAGTTTTCCCACACTCTTGACATGCATAGGGTTTCACTTCTGTGTGAATCACCTTATGACTAAGAAGGCCTGAGCTACTGCGGAAAGCCTTACTACACACCTGGCATCCATAGGGTTTCTCTCCGGTGTGAATTCTCTGATGTCCAGTGAGACGTGACTTAGTGTAAAAAGTTTTCCCACACTCTTGACATTCATAAGGCTTCTCTCCAGTGTGCCATTTCTGATGTTTATTGAGATTTGACTTTAAGGAAAAACATTTCCCACAATCTAGACATTCATAGGGCTTCTCTCCAGTGTGACATCTCTGATGTCCAGTGAGGACAAATTTAGTGCAAAAGGTTTTCCCACATTCTTGACATTCAAAAGGCTTCTCTCGAGTGTGAATTCTCTGATGTCCAGTGAGACGTGACTTGCTGGAAAAAGTTTTCCCACACTCTTGACATTCATAGGGCTTCTCTCCAGTGTGACATTTCTGGTGTTTATTGAGGTTTGACTTTAAGGAAAAAGTTTTCCCACACTCTTGACACTCATAAGGCTTCTCTCCAGTGTGAGTTCTTCTATGTCCAGTGAGGTAGAACTTACTGGAAAAACTTTTCCCACACTCTTGACACTCATAGGGCTTCGATCCAGTGTGACATTTCCCTTCAGTGTGATTTCTCTGATGTACAATATTGGATAGCTTCCAAGAATACAAATTGGTACGGCCTTGATATTCATATGGTTTCTCTGCCAAGTTTGACTGGTGACGGTAAGTGAGGGCTGATTTTCTGTAAAAAGTTTTTGTACACATTTCATATTCATAGGCTTTCTTTCCTGCATCGGCCTTCTCATGGTTACCAAGGTCAGGCTTGTAGTATGAAGACTTTCTACAATGTCGACATTCATCTGGTTTCTCTCCTGTGTGAGTCTTCTGATGTTTACTGAGGGCTGGTTTACAGGAGAAAGTTTTCCTACACTCTAGACATTCACAGCGTTTCTCCTTTGGATCCCTTCTCTGAGGAACACTAACAGCTGACTTCTCTGAGAAAGTTTTCTTAATTTGCTTACATTTATAATGCTTCACTCCCATTTGAGATTGCGGATGTGCAGTGACGGCAGTCTTCCCTGAGAAAGTTTTCACACAGTGTTTAGAGCCAAACAGTTTCTTTGTAGTACGGGTTCCCTGATATTGACTCGGGAAGGAAACCTCAGGGGTTTCTGCACATTTAAAAGGTCCATCATCTGCTTGCATTTTCCGATGTTCAGGAAGAACAGAGCTTGTACAGCACGTGTCACCGTGCCTATTACACTCCTGAGGAGTCTGTCCTAACTGAGCACTCTCCTGCTGATGGGTGTGAAGTGTGTGGCTGAGAGGGGGCCCCCTTTCACAACCTGTCTGCTGCTCACCTTCAACATACCAGTGACGGCGCAAATGTCCTGGTTTCGCATTAACAGGCTCCCCTCTTTCTTTACATGGAGGGGGAGGCCGTTCTCCTTGGGTTCTACCTTGGATGACGAAAGGACGCCCGCCACAGGTGTCCCAACACGCCTCGTGTTTACAGGCAGTCCCTTCTGTAAGCGCTCCTCTCTGTGAAAATATCGTTTCCTTGCTCAAGGCATACTCTTGCTCACAAACTTCAAAAGGCTGTGGGAAATTCTGAATCACCTCCTCACTGAGGTGTTTAGGAGACCCGATGGATTCCCTTATTCTATGACAGGTCTCCTCTGCCCTTCCAGGATGCTCTTCATGAGGCTCATCAGGGGGGAACATGTTTTGACGGATAGCAGAGACCTCAGGCATCACTGCTGAAATGATTCCGTTTTTGACACTCTGGCTCAAACTACAAACTGCGTCCAAATTACTTTTATTCCCTATGTCATCTGTTCTATCGTTGATGGGTATTCTGCTGTCAGCAGTACAAACTTGCCATAAATGTCTGGCGTGGTTTGGTGGGCTGGCCTCGGTCTGGTAATCCACAGGATGGACCTCTAAAAAGAGAAAAAAAACGGCCATTAGTATAAGTAACACTACACAAATCCAACAAATGCTACTAAAAGCAATACCAGTTTCCTTACTACCATACAATCTGACAGGTATTCATACTATAATTTTTAAAAGATTTATGTATGCCTCCTGGGGTACAGGAGGCCATATGTATGGGGGTTGAGAGAATTCTCCAGAGTGGGGAGCTGAAGGTGCAGATCAACTAAAATACACTGCTGCGGGGAGCAGCGGACAAGAGATGTCTACCACGTCATGCAGGTCACCTCCCTGGCCTGGGTTTGAACTCATGGTGCTCAGGTTGCCAACAGCTTCACAGTGCTGTGCTTTAATGCCTTGTACCACCAGGGAGGATCCAAGGTACTGATTTTCTAATTATGCTTTTTATCCCTAATGAAGTATGAAAAAAATACATATTTTTTATTATATTGGTGTAGAATAGCTGGGGTGTAGGCCAGATGTGCAAGCATGATGTGTGTGTGTGAGTGAGTGAGAGAGAGAGAGAGAGAGAGGGAGAGGGAGACAGAACAGATAGTATGGGGAAAATAACAGGTGGAGTGACTGTAATACAATACTGAGGCGAGCAGCAGGCTAGACAGAAGAGGTCTTCTGTGCCATCTGATTCAGGTTTGGCCATGAATCAGACCCAGGCCGTATTAATGAGAGCACCGAGACCTAACCCCTTGGCCTCCAGGTAGACTCCAATGAACAGATACGCCCATTGCAAACCAGGATGACAAGGAAATAGAAAAACTTACTTCATAGTGCTTTTATAAAGGAATAAATGTTTGGTAAATACACTCATTTAACTAATGTTGACTTAAACGAGGAACATTTAACGAAACATACAGCCTATGGACCTTCGTTCTTAGGATGATCCTTTGCAACTTTTGCTGCTACTTTCTGAATAATCAACCTATGCACAAGCCATAGGTTTCCTGGAAAATCTACTGATAAAAAGTGATACAGCATCCTTCTCCAGTGTCCTTAAGAAAGAGCTGCTTAGGCCCTGGCAGCACAGCGGTTTAGGTCGCATCAATGTGATTCTAGCCAAGGCCCCTTGGGTGTGAGTTTGATCCCCACCCCGGAGGTGATCGACATGGTACAACAGATATCTCTTGTTTTGTCTGCTGCTACACTCAACAGTGTCTTTCACTAAGTCTGCTTGTTCTGCCCCCAACTCTGTCTCTGGTGAATCCTGTCACTGGCCCTGTACCTCTGGCCTGTACCCCAGATTTGCATGCATATATAAATGAATCTTTTAAAAATTCTGAATGGGTACCTGAGAGAATACAGTCTGAGAGATTAATTCATACAGAAAATGGGGCTAATGCAGAATAGCTCCCTGCAGTATCAGGGACTGAACACTGGGTCAGTCTGAGAAGACTGGCAGCCATTGGAAGAGCAGCAGGAGATCTACGAGAGGAATATTTTGGCTCAATCACTTTGACAGATGCAGAAAAACAGTCCAATTCTGGACAGTGGAAAATGGCTCATCACGGGCCACACTAGAGGCCAGGCAAGCACTGACTGACCTGGGAGGTCCTGGTTGGGAGGTTGTTCCACAGTCCCTGGCTGTGCTCCCGGCTCCAAGCTGATGCTCGCCTCAGGATCCTTAACACGATGCCCTGTGGTGAGAAAAAGTGTTGGTCCTTGATCAAGTTTCTTAAACTTCAGTCTGGAAAACTAACAAAAGCAGTGCAATGGAGGCTAATTTGAATCTTTCATGAAAGGGGCAGACACCCACAATCTGCTCGGCCTGCCATGTTCCAGCTCCCCAAAACCCAGTTTTATACACCAGAGAGCACTTGTCAGTGTAGAAAACTGCACCTGCACTGAGTATGACATGGGAGTTTCCTCACCTACTGACACCAGGTGGTTAAAGGTTTCCAGCATCACATCGCGGAACAGGGTCCTCTGAGCATCACTGAGGTTCCGCCACTCCTCCCAGGTGAAGTTCACAGCCACGTCCTCAAATGACACCATCCCCTGTGAGGGAGCATTTATCCTCATTCCAGGGCTAACAGCCTAGGTCAGACTGCCGCAAGTGTAAACGCACCTACTTTTGGGGTCTTTGCTCTTGTATAGGATGCACCTCTTTTTTTTTT